GGTCAGTACCACGCACTAGTACTCATTGATTCCTACTCGAAATGGCCGGAAGTATTCCTAACCAGCACACCAACCACGTCGTTCGTGATAAGAGTACTACGAAAGTGTTTCAGTCGAGAAGGTGTTCCACAAGTCTTTTTGACCTACATTCGACCCCAAAAAGTAATAAATCAAAGGATAAATCATCCGCGAGACTCCGTTTTACCTCCACTAGGAGACTGAATTACATTGTTCAACCTACTCATCGAGTACAGTATCTAGGCAGGGATTCAATGACTGAAAACGTGATTGCCAAATTCTGGAGCGTTCACAAAGTATCGTTCAATCGTTACTCATCCGCAGAGAGAATGAAATCGCTGAGGTTATACTCTAATCACTACCGGTGCATCAGAGGAGATGCGATTATGGCACACCAAATGATGCAAAACTCAATCCATCCCTGTCGTCCGCTGCGAAAATTATCACCCATCACTCATCTTAGAGGACATCCGTTCAAACGAGTGGTCTCAAAATGCCTATTGGAATACCGGCGTCAGTCATTCGTAGTCAGAGTGTGTTCGATCTGGAATTCTCTCCCACACCACGTCGTCTGTGCACCAAGCATTGAATCTTTGAAACTGAAAATCGATGAAACTTTAGTACACCTTACTTTCCAACATAAGTGAATTTGTGTGCAGCAGTGGAGGAGTCCCGTATCATGTGACATTTTACACAAGGAATTGTATATATCACTGTATGTATCACCACAACACGAGCCTATGGGACGAGAAAAGCATGAGTTTTTTAGTTAGTCCTATAATAAAAATTAGAAACTGTTAGGTCTCAATATCCAAATGTGATAGACTGTATGTCTCAAGCTATTTTTTTTTCATTTTTTTTTCACCTGTCCATTTTTTTTCAGACTTCGGAAGTTTGGACACAGATTGAACAAGAATTGAAACGGGATGATATAAGACCGGTTACGCCGGATATGGAAATGCTTCACCGTATCCGTCAGTGGAACGACGAACAACGGGAGGCAATCCAGAAGGCCCAGCAAGAGTTACGCGATACGGCTGAGCAGGAAGCCCGAGCACGCGAACAAGCAGACTACAATCGGGTAGGTGACTAATTTTTTTCCTAGTTGATTCTCAGCAAATCCGAAAATGCAAAGCATGAATGCCGTGCAGCCACAATTCGAACTGCGTCACATTTATTGTCGGTCAACAATCGCAGTATTCCTTAACCTAAAACCAGCCTTCAATTCAGTTGACCGTGAAGCTTTTCTGGAGTCACTTCTTCGCAAAGGAATGCCGCGGAAGTATATAAACCTATTGCGGTCGCGGTACTTGCATACTACTGATAGCGTAAGGGTCTACGGTGGACCAAGTAAATTTTTCGAAACCAGGAGCGGTGTTCGTCAAGGGTGCCCTATTTCACCACTCCTGTTTAATTTCGTCGTTTATGAATTACTGGAGAACGCACTTACTGGTCTCCAATAGGTCGGTATTGAATTGGCAGCTGGAGAAAACCTGTGCGATTTCGAGTACGCTGATGACATCGCATGCCTTTTCGAATGTATGGAGGTTGCGCAAAGCGCTCTTGGCAAATTAGCAAGTTCTGTATCTCCTTTCAACATGTGCTTTGCACCTTCAAAGTGCAAAGTAGTGCTACAAGACCGGGTGTCGTCTACCCTATCGTTGATGTTGTATGGTCAAGAATTAGCTGTAGTGGAATGTTTCACCTACTTAGGTAGTTGCGTTTCAAATGACGGTAGCGTAGTCAGTGAAATAACCGCCCGCATTTCCAAGGCTCGAGAAGCCTGCGCAGGATTGAAACA